TTGAAAGGTGATAGTGAGTCACTGTAGTGTCCAGCACTCCTCAGTACTGCTTAAAGGGGACCTATTATCCTTTTCCATATTTTATGACTTATCTACAATGTTACAATGTTGGATGTTCATATTAAACATGGTCAAAGCTTCATATAATGAGGTTAAAGTATTTAAAAATGTGTTCTGTGCATGTAATAGGTTTGCAAAGTGAAAAAACCCAAAGTCCACTCTAAAGGGAGTTCCCATCTCCTACGGCTGGACTACAAAGAGCTCGTTTGTAGTCCAGCCGCTTCCCTTTCATCCCTTTGACGACACGGGGATGAAAGCAAAATGCGCGCTTAAAGAGACAGAAGCATGCTACAAGCTACAGCTTGTTTCAGACAGAGGCTGAAATGAAGGCCTACAAGAAGGGCCAGTATAAGATAGAAAATCATTTTTTTGAATCATACAAAGATGCCATAGAGTCACAGAACTACAATATAGGACTTGAAAAGCAGTATAAAATGCAGCTCTACTTCTCTGTCTTTGAGAATTCAATTCAATTCAATTTTATTTATAGCGCCAAATCACAACAACAGTTATCTCACAGCGCTTTTCATAAAAGAGCAGGTCTAGACCATACTCAACAATTCCCACCAAGAGCAAGCACTAGGCGACAGAGGCAAGTAAAACTAATAACTTCCTTTAAGAGGCAGAAACCTCGAGCAGAAGAACCATGGCTCAGGGTGGGCGGTCATCTGCCTCGACCGGATGGGGGTGAAGGAGAGAGAGGGAGAGAGAGAGAGAGAGATAGGGCAAGAGAGGAACAGAGAGAAAGACAGAAGGATCGAAGGAGAGAGAGAGGGTAGGGAGGCAGCCTGCACAGTATACACAAAGAGGTACAGACAGTAAAGGTGATGTTGCTATAGACTAAATGAAAAATGGTACAGATATTTATAGTATTGTTAATGATAATAATCGTAATGTTAATGATTATAATTACAATAATAACAATAGGACTAGCAACAATAGTTGTTGTAGCAGAAGGTGTCGAGCAGGAACACGGGGGCAGCAGGTGACCCACAGCCACAGATCCAGACTCCACAGCTCCAGAGCCAGAAAACCTGCAGGAAGTGATAGGAGGAGAGAGAGGGGATGAGAAAGCACAAGACTACCAGAAAGGGGAGAAGTCGAGTTAGTAACATGCAATAATGGGATAAGGTTGCATACAGAGGGAGAGAAAGTAGAGGAGAAAGGAGCTCAGTGCATTATGGGAAATCCCCCGGCAGTCTAGGCCTATAGCAGCATAACTAAGGGATGGTTCAGGACTCACCTGAGCCAGCCCTAACTATAAGCTTATCAAAGAGGAAAGTCTTAAGCCTACTCTTACATGTGGAGATGGTGTCTGCCTCCTGAGCTTGATAGCTGAGTATACTTTTGGAGACTCTAGGAACCACAAGTAACCCTGCATTCTGTGAGCGCAGTGCTCTGGTGGGGTAGTAAGGTACTATGAGCTCTTTAAGATAAGATGGTGCCTGACCATTAAGAGCTTTGTAGGTAAGAAGAAAGATTTTAAATTATATTCTGGATTTTACTGGAAGCCAATGACAACCTCTTTTGTTTTTGGATCAGCTGAAGAGTCTTAATGGACTTTTTCGAGCAGCCTGATAATAAAGAATTGCAGAAATCCAGCCTAGAAGTAACAAATGCATGGACTAGTTTTTCTGCATCATTTTTAGACAGTATGTTCCTGATTTTCTCAATATTACGTAGGTGAAAAAAGGCGGTCCTTGAAAGTTTCTTAATGTGAGACTTAAACGACATGTCCTGATCAAAGATAACTCACACAATCACAGTGGTGTTGGAGGCCAGGGCGATGCCATCAAGGGAAACTATATCTTTAGATAGGAGGTGCTTAGGCCCCAGAACAATAACTTCAGTTTTATATGAGTTTCACATTAGAAAATTACAGGTCATCCAGGTTTTAACATCCTGAAGGCACATTTGAAGTTTAGCTAATTAGTTGAAGTTGAGCTGATGAATTTCATCTGGCTTGATCGATAGATAGAACTGAGTATCATCTGCATAACAATGAAAGTTTATGGATATTTCCTGATAATATTGCCTAAGGGAAGCATATATAAAGTTAAGAGGATTGGTCCGAGGACAGATCCTTGAGGAACTCCATGACTAACTTTGGCGTTAATGGAGGACTCATCGTTAACATGTACAAACTAAAATCGATCTGATAAATAGGACTTAAACCAGCTTAGAGCGGTTCCTTTAATGCCAATGAAATGTTCCAGTCTCTGCAATAGAATCTGATGGTCAATGGTATCAAATGCAGCACTAAGATCTAATAAAACCAGAACAGAGACAAGTCCTTTGTCTGATGCAATAAGGAGGTCATTAGTAATTTTCACCAGTGCTGTCTCTGTGCTATGATGAACTCTAAATCCTGACTGAAAATCCTCAAATTAACTACTGCTCTGTAGAAAGTCACACAGCTGTTTAGCAACTGCTTTCTCCAGGATCTTAGAGAGAAAAGGAAGGTTAGATATAGGTCTATAGTTGGCTAAAACACCCGGATCAAGTATGGGCTTTTTCAGAAGAGGTTTAATTACAGCTAATTTAAAGTACTGCGGTACATAGCCTGTTGATAAAGATAGATTGATCATATCTAGTATAGAGGTGCTGACTAAGGGTAAAACATCTTTAAGCAACCTAGTCGGGATGGGGTCTAAGAGGCAGGTTGATGGTTTAGATGAAGAAATTATTGAAGTTAGTTGGTAAAGGTTGAGGGAGGCAAAGCAGTCTAAACATATATCTGGTTCTACAGCTGTTTCTAAGGTTCCTGACTTTAGAGATAAGTCGGTGCCAGTTAAGGGCAAGTCTTGGTGAATGTTGTTTCTAATAGTTAGAATTTTATCATTAAAGAAGCTCATGAAGTCGTAACTACTGAGAGCTATGGGAATACTTGGCTCAATAGAGCTGTGACTCTCTCAGCCTGGCTACAGTGCTGAAAAGAAACCTGGGGTTGTTCCTATTTTTGCTCTATTAATGACGAGTAGTACGCTGCTCTGGCATTACGGAGGGCCTTCCTATAAGTTTTAAGACTATCTTGCCAAATTAAACGAGAATTTTCCAGTTTGGTGGAACGCCAATTCCTCTCAAGTTTCCGCGATATTTGCTTTAATTTGTGAGTTTCAATATTATACCATGGAGCTAACCATCTTTGTTTTATTATTTTATTTTTTAGAGGGGCTACAGAGTCGAGTGTCATTCGCAGCGGGCCTGCAGCACTATCAACAAGATGATCGATTTGGGAGGGACTGAAATTAGAATAGGAGTCCTCTGTTACTTTGTGACTTGATAATGAATTTGGAGCTGATGGAATCACATCCTTAAATTTAGCTACAGCACTATCGGACAGATTTTTGCCCAGTGGCGTGTAGTTCAGCAATACAAACTCAAAAGTTATCAAACAGTGGTCAGAAAAAGAGGGATTCTGTGGGAACACTATTAAATGTTCAATTTCAATACCATATACCAAAACGAGGTCGAAGGTGGGGTTAAAACAGTGAGTCGGTTCATGAACACTCTGAGAGAAGCCAATGGAATCTAACAGAGAGATAAACGATGTACTGAACCTGTCATTCTCAACGTCCACATGAATATTAAAATCCTCTACAATAATAACTTTGTCCGTTTTAAGGACTAAAGTTGACAAAAACTCTGCAAATTCAGATAAGAATTCAGAGTATGGGCCAGGTGCTCGGTACACTATAACGAAGAGAATTGGTTGCAGTGATTTCCAACTTGGGTGTGAAAGACTAAGAACAAGGCTTTCAAACTAGTTTTAGTTTAGGTTTAGAGCTGATTAGTAGGCTAGAGTCGAAGATGGCTGCAACTCCAACTCCTTGGCCTGTGCCTTGAGGAATATGAGTATTAATATGACTGGGAGGGGTGGATTCATTTAGGCTAATATATTCTCCATCACCCAGCCAGGTTTCAGTATGACAAAATAAATCAATCATAATCTCATATTAGTTAATTTACTAGTACACCTTTAGAAGAGAGAGACCTGATGTTTAAGA